TCTTTTTGCAGAGAGCCTCATCTGTGCTGCAGTCGATAGGTGGGTGAACTACTGTTTTGTCGCTGCAGTTTTCATAGACAATATTCTCTTAAGCAATGTAGATAAGGTGAGAATGGATTTCTTTTTTTTGTTGCTTTCCTCAGATCACAACTCACAAAAACCCTGTCAACTGGCAGTTCCTCGACAGCCCTGTGCAATTTTACGATCACTGAACACGCCTGTTCCTCGGTAAGATTCTTTTATGTAAGATTTAAATCCAAGACAAAAACTTGGCTTTTGCTGAATCACAATCCTGAGACAAATCTCCGTAAGTACTGACAAGTGTGCTGCATTCCTTGTCAATGTTTTTCCAAGGCTAAACATCTCACAACCAACAACTTGGTCACACTGATGAAATGCTCACTGGAAAGCCAAAGGACATACTCAGTGGAAGTTTGGAAGCTTTTCTTCCAAAAAGCTTCTTCTACCCTGGACCAGGCTCTTGTGACATTGGCTACCAAGGTCAGTCCAGTTTCATAATATTGTTGTTTCCCTGTTTGAATTCTGTGTCTAAGTAATGTGGGCTTTTGTTTTGTGTTCAATTCTAGGCCTCCAACAATGGTAGCCAAGCCTGGTCACATGCTCTTGAGGCTCTTGGGGAGGTGAGAATTTTCAACTTCAGTCAGGAACAAATGCTGAGTGAGGATTTCATCAGCAGCTGGTTCCAGACAAAGATCCGTCCGTTTCTGTCCGCTCCATCCTTCAACTTCCTATCCTGTCTTAGCTCCAACAACTTCAGCTGCTTGACATACCGGACTGTGTAAGCAAATACTAGATATGTTGCTCCACTAAGAACAAGACTGCAGAGAAAGCTGCCGTTTTCTAGTTGTTTTTGATATTAAAAACCTTCTCTTAAATGTTAGCATCCAGGCATTCAGTAGCCAACGGTCATCCATGGACAGACACAGACAGAAAGCTGTCTTCACTCATTTCATCAAACCATTCCTGTCAAGAAATGACTCCTCAGGTAAGGACGGACAATCAGGCTCTCTTTGTCAATGTCTCGACAGGATGCAAAGACAATAAACTTCCGCTGTCTTTGTTTCTCTCTCTTTATTTGCAGATCCTGGCTGCCTCACATCTGTCAGTGGTAGTAAAGAGTGGCTACTAGCATACCTTGGAAACTTCTCTCATTATGCAACCCTGCAGGATTTGCAAGCCCTCAATCCCAACTTCTCAAGTGTGAGTGGCAACTGAAGTTGCAGAGCTCCTTACCCAAACTGA